AAAAGTTTGATCACAATCTGTAGTAACACTGAGAACTTCCAGCAACCAGCCACATCTCTGCAGTTAACTCACTATCTTTGTCTCCAAGATGACTTGGATTCCTTTGCCTACCTCCTCAGACCCTCAGAACTCCTGCCTCCCACCTCTCCCCGCTCTGTTGATGACCTCACTAAAAACATAAAAATAATCAGAAGAGAACTATCTCTTCTTCCCAGGACAAACATACCAATCTGCTTACACCTATACTCACACACTCTTCCTTCCTGTTACAATGGACATCACCTCCACTCTCATACTGCCATTTCATCTTATCCTCTCTTTCCTACCTAGGACTGTGCTCTCATGATTGTTACCCCTCTGACAATCCTCAAACTGCTCTCTCCAGCCTGAGTTTTGACTTCATATGTCCACCCGTTCACCAGACTTGTCCACCTGGATAACTAGTAAGTATCTCAAATCTGAAATATATAAGACAGGATTCCTAATTCCCTATGCCCGGCCTTCCCGAGGCTAGTAAGTGGCACCAACGGTTCTATCCTTCACAATACAGCTTGACCCCAAACGTGGAGTCATCCTTAACAGCCTCCCCCAACCCCTGATCGATCTATCAGCGAGTCTTTATTTTTTTGGCAGCACTGGGGAGGGGATCAAACCCAAAGGCTCGTGCCTGCTAGACAAGTGCTCTACCGCTGAGCTACACCTCCAACTCTACCAGCAACTCTTGATTTTCCTGTCTTCAAACTCCATGAGGAACCCCACATTTCTCTCCACCTCCGGTCTCCTGCTGTCCCTTACCTAGACTACAGTAATCGTGTCTGACATAGCCTGCTCCCCCTCCGCCCCATCCACTGCCTATTCTCAGCAGAATACCCAGCATGATTTTTCAGACTATAGGACAAATAATGACATTTTTCTGCTGGAAATCAACAGCTTTTTCACAGATTAAAACCCAAACTCCTCAGCATGCCAACAAGGCTTGGGCGCTCTTTTTACTTGCTGCGTCTGCTCCAGAACACCAGTTCGGGGCTTGTGCTCAATCATGGTAAGACCGTTTTGCATGGGGACCTACTTGTTCTCTCCATCAGGAATGTTCTTCCTTTGGGTTCTCACACACTGAGATCTTCAGCATTACTCAGGCCTCCGATGTCCCCTTCCCTGACAGAGCATCCCGGACAACGCCATCTGAAACAGTGCCTCCTCCTTCACTCTCTATTCCCATCGCCTACATGACTCTTCCTCATGGCACTCGCCGTTCACTGAACTTACATCATCTATTCAGTCGTCTGCTGTTTATCCTCTCTCCTATAATGGGAGCTACATGAGCTTAGAATAATGCCTAACAGTGGAGATGCTTCATAAACATATGATGAATTAATATTATAAATTTTTTAGAAGCTTAACTATATATGCAACTACTACATTGTAAATAAGTTATACCTATGGAAAAATACTAAAAAAGAACAGTGGGCCAAGCATGGTGGTACATGCTTGTAATCCCAGCACTTGGGAGACTGAGGCAGGAGGATTACTTTGAGTTCAGGCCAGCCTGGGATTCATAGTGAGTTCAAGGTCAGCATGAACTACATAGCAAGATCCTGTCTCAAAAAAAAGAATAATAGGCTGGGGATGTGGCTCAGTCATAGAGTACTTGTCTAGCGTACACAAGGTCCTAGATTCAATCCTCAGTACAATAAAATAAATTTTTTAAGTAGTTGTGATTTTTTCTGAGGGGAGGGGTCGGTACTAAGGCAGGAACCCGGGGCTCTCACGCTGAGCTATATACTCAGCCCTTTGTAAATTTTTTACTTTGAGACAGGGTGTCATTAAGTTGCCCAGGCTGGGCTCAAACTTGAGATCCTCCTGCCTCACCCTTCCCGACTGCTGGGATTACAGTTATGCTCATGAAACCCAGCTTTTTAAAATTTACATTACCTTAATGTTATGTTGTCGCTTCAATAAAAAACAATGAGCTGGGCATGGTGGCACACACCTGTAATCCCAGCACTCGGGAGGCTGAGGCAGGAGGATTGTTGCGAGTTGAGGCCAGCCTGGGCTACAAAGTGAGCTCAAGTTCAGCCTGAACTGCATAGCAAGACCCTGTCTCAAAAAAGACAAAAAAAAAAAACCACAATGGCCAAGCATGGTGGCACATGCCTGTAAATCTAAGCACTCAGGAGGCTGAGGCAGGAGGATGGCTGCTAGTTCATGGCCAGCCTGGGCTACATGATGAGTTCAAGGCCAGCCTGAAGAATATACATAGTGAGACTCTGTGTCAAAGAAAAACAAACCAAGTTGGGTATGGTGGCTGGCATATGCTTGTAATTCTAGCACTCAGGAGGCTGAGGCAGGAGGATCATCATGAGTTTGAGGCCAGCCTGGGCTACATAGTGAGTTCAAGCTCTGCCTGCACTACAAAGCAAGACTCTGTCTTAAGACACACAAAGCAAAACAAAACAAAAAACACCACCAAAAAAAAAAAAAAAACCCCAAAAAAAAAAAAAAAAAAAAAAAAAACAAAAAAAAAAAAAAAAAAAAAAAAAAAGATGGAACCTAGTCTGGCCAACTTAGCAATTTAGTGAGATCCTGTCTCAAAATGTAAAATAACAAAAAGGCTGAGGATGTAACTCAGTGAAAAGGCCCTGGGTTCAATCCCCAATATTACAAGAAAGGGAACAGGCTTTTCTGTCCTAGATGAAAGATGAATGAGGATCTCTCAGTCCCAAGGAGTCGCAACTCTACATGTGCACTGTGACCAGAAGAACATCAGCTCCTGGTGCCTGGGAGCTGGCCTGGGACTATTAACCAGGCGTCAGTGCTCTCCCCTTGAACATGACATCAACAGCAGACAGAGCCACTGTCTGACCACGATGGATTAGGACATAAATACACTACTCCATAATGTTACCTGAAAGGAAACAAAACATGAACACTTTCCAAACCATAAAACACCAAACACCCCTTTCCCATTTAATGATGGGAAACTACTGCTTCTTTTCCAATTTCAGGTTTGGCCCCACTTTAGTCTGTTCTCCCAATAGGTAAGATTTACAAAAATGGTGAATCACAGAATTGTCCATTTCCTGACAGCATCTAATCCACAGCAAAGCCTTCATGCCCTCAAAACTTTCCAGACTCCCAAGCACAAACCCAAATGCCGTCACAAGTCTTTCCAACAATGCCTCCCGAGATGCCCCACAGCTCCTGATGGGCTGCACGCTACTTTGCTGAAATACGATGTTAGCCTAACTTGTTCCACTACTGCTGGGCTCCCAGCTGGCTCTGCCTGGAAGGCAGTGATAGCAGTCATGACGCCAGGGCCATCGTGGGCCACTGTACGTGCAGAAATCACAGAAGCCTGCTGGAAAACTGACCCCGGGATATAATCTGAGTGCTGGTTCTCTGAACACATTCCCTGACACCAGCTGATTTTCTTGGCCTCTGCCTCTTTTTCCTAAAGGCTAGATGAGGGAGAAGGAGGCCTAGTTAATGAAATGTCCCAGTGAATAATGTCACAGCTAATCCCAGATGCCCCGCACAGCTTCCCTGCCCTCCTCTTTCTGAAAGTCGCCCTAAGCACAGGTTTAGAATGGTGCTGGAGGACTGACTCATGGGCAGAGCCTGAGGCAACACCACTCAAGTACTTTAAGCCACATGTTCAAGCCCAATAAATTAGCCCAGGCTTAAAGAAGTCAAGCTGTACACATGTAAGAATTTTAATAAGCTTGGAAAATGCTACCTAGAGCTTATACACAAGCTTACTGTACCAATGGGATTCCCTGCCACCAGCCACGGAGTGCTAAGCCCCTGACAAGAGCTGTGGAACACGTGGGGCAGCGGGGACAAGGAGTCTGCTAGGTGCAGGTTTCCTCAGGAGTTGGGGACTCAGCAGATGGCTGGCAGCCAGATGGATGGAGAACGGAATAGGGCAGGCAGCTCAGTGGAGCCAACGGCATTTACTGGGAAAACATGCTGAGGGTTTCTCCGGTGGCAACCCGGTCCTCACACACCCTTGTAGAAGCCAGCGAACACTGTAATCAATGTCTGCATTTATCACATGCCTGTCTGTATCCACAACTATGTTATGTACAATAGAGAGTTCTTTAAGCAAACAAGGTCTCTGACTTCTAGATGCTTACACCTAATATAAATAAAAACAATAAACCTGTCCGAAGGATTACCAAGCTAACTGAACAAACACGAAATAATCAAAAGCCTTTACCTCATACAATGCAGGGGAGTAACCGCTGAGGGAAAGTCATGGGAGACGACTCTCTAAACAGGGCGGGACTGAATGGAACAGTTACCTCGTTAAGGCTAAGTCTCCAAGGGAGAGGCGAGGTTTTAAGAAAAGCACTGGCTACTGCGTTTGGGGAAAATTTGCCAATAGGGAAGAGGGAGATAAGAGCAGCTTGAGAGTCGATTGAGAGGCAGAAATACAACTACAGAAAGAAAGAAAACTTATAAACTGCCCAGCAAAAGTAGAGGAAATTGTCAAACAAGTATACTTTTCTGAACTGGATTTTTACTCATGCTCCCTTCTCACATCCTCTTTTAATGTAATTTAAAAGTCCAAAAGTAACTATCATAACCAACATCAAATCAAAACTATAGCAGTTTCAGAATCTGACTTTTCAAATAACACAAATCATCCCTTCCTCCAGGGCTGAGAATTGCCCAGATGGGCTGCAGCAATTATCAACAAAGGAGGCTTTTTTGTGGGGAGGGGGATTTTGAGACAGAGTCTCGCTATGCAATTCAGGCTGGCCTTGAACTCACTATGTAGCCCAGGCTGGCCTCAAACTCGAAGTGACCCTCCTGCCTCAGCCTCCTGAGTGCTGGTATTATAGGCATGTGGCACCACACCTGGCATTCTCACTGAATTCTTATAGAAGGGAGGATGTAGACCCTGGGCCCACATGGGACCAGACAACCACCAGTATCAGAAAGTTGAAGGCGGCAAAAAATAAACCACTGCACTAGCAAGAATTTATAATAATTACCTGATTAAAATTTTTGAAGGAGAATTCTTTGTAGATGGCGTCTCTCTCACTTAATTCTGACCATCCTGCTTTCTTAAGGTCACGTAGAATCTGGTCCCTCTCCTCTGCAGTCAACAGCTGAGAATCTGAGGACTGTGAAGAGAATACATTCCATACCTGAAAACAGAGGTTAACTTAAACTTTAAATAATCTTTCAAAATAAACTTATAAAGCTCTTTACCTTAAAGACAAATGCAGGAAAAAGTCTCAAGACAACAAATTCTAACCACTCCTCTGTTCTCAAAACACAGACAAAAATAAGGCTAACTCTGTTCAAAGCCAGCTGCCCCTGTGATATTTTATCTTCAAACTTCAGAGTACAGCAACTCTACAGATGCAACTGGGCTTGACCATGCTGCACTCCTTACATACTCCCCAGAATTCCAGGACTTTGGAAACTGAAGTCAGAACACCCACCGACAGACACTCTGCAAGTCCACTGGCAAGAAAGTTCTGTGTGACTTACTCCATAAAGAGCAGGGATTCTGGTGAGCCGATTTTCTAGTTTTCCTTCCTCATAATTCAGCGTTGTGAACTCCTGTCCCACTGCTTTTTGGATGGTTTCCCATGACCTTAGCAGTCTTCACTGCCCTATGTATGTTGGTTTTAAATATTTGGGGTTACTATCCCCTTTCACATTTGACAAAAGCCGATGCCCACGGGGAAAACACAAAAGCACATTGACATGGGATTTTGTATAACTTCAAGGGATCCACAGACCCTCTGCTATAGGTAAAAAGCCCTCATCTTTTAAGTGTGTGAAAGTCTTTCCTCAGAGCAGCAGGAAAACAAACTCGCTTCTATCTGGCCAGAGGACTATCCAATCCAAGCACTTGTGTGCACTGTCCATGTTGTTCCTACTACTGATGATAATACCCAAAAGCCAAGGTCCTTCTGGCTAACAGACTTCCCATGCCATTTCCTCTAAAAATTAAAAATAAAATTTTAAATGCCATCACCAGAGAAAAGAGACACTCTGCTAGAATGTGTGAAGTGTCAATCAATCCCTCCTGTCCTATAGGCTCAAGCAAAAGAGAGAATCCCACTCAGAAATACAGAACTACTCTCAGGAGGCTGAGGCAGGAGGATTGTTGTGAGTTCAAGGCCAGCCTGAACTGCATAGCGAGACCTTGCCTCAAAAAGACCAAAAAAAAAACCCAAAAGAAATACAGACTAATGTTGAGGGTTCCTTATCAAAGGGACCTGGAGCTAAGCTGAATGAAGCTATTCCCTCTTCCAGAATCCTAAAATCCCTTACAACAGACATTAATATAGTTAAGAGGAGAAAACTGTTTTACCTTAAAGCAACTTATTCAATGAAGAGAAAAAAGAATGCTCAGAAACTAATTTTCTACTTTTTCTACCTTGCCAGGTCAGCTGCCTTTCTCTCACAACAAACGGGGAAAATAAGAGTATCTCTTAATTAAACAAAAATATTTAAATGCAGCCAGGTGTGGAGGCACACAACTGGAATCCCAACACCGAAAGGCTGAGGTAGGAGGACTGAGGTTGGGACTCAGCCTCTGGGCAAGTTAGTGACTTAGCCAGGCCCGGGCTGAGAATGAAAAATCAAAAGTGGGGTGGGGCTAGGGATACAGCTGAGGCTGAAGGCCCTGGGTTCAACCCCCAGTGCCACAAAGAAGAAAAATTAAAGAGCCATTCATTAATCTTCAGGGACAGTTCTGAAAAACTTCACAATGGTCTACTATAGGGAATAATTGTAAAATGTTTACTAAGCACATAATTATTTTGTTAGCTCAGAGGATTTCGAAGAAACTGATGAAACATGCTGTCGGTTACGCAGAAGCCCCCGGCGGCTGTGGGATGAGCTCTAAGCCAGTTCCTCCGGTGCTCCCCCACAGCCCCATAGAGACTGCGGGGCTCGGCGATCTGAGCTGCGGCGCATCCGGAACTGACACGGTGCCGCTTCATCTACGAGACACCAAAGACCCCCTCCAGGGCACGCCCTCGGCAGAACCCTTGGTGGGGCCATAATTTTGTTCCCCTAAGGGAGCTGAGGGAGAGAGAAGCACAGGGCTTCGAAAGAGTACTGCGGTCTGGATTCACAGACTAGTTTTATGTTCTGCTTCGAGATGCTGTTTCTCGGCTTCTCTGAATTTCAATGCCCTCGTGTCTATCTATAAATGGGGATATTACACTATCTACCTGCTAGGGGTGGGGATATAGCTCAGTGGCACAAGTGCCTGCCTACGAAGCGCAAGGTCCTGAGTTCGATTCCCAGTACCAAAAAAACAAAAACAAAACAAAAAAAAAACACCTAACAAGACTTTTTGAAAGGCTTAAAATGATCTTGAACGCCAAGGCATCCAGCAGAGGTCACGTCTGTTTATTCATTCCCTCTCTCATAACTGTACTCCATCGCCAGCACTTGGGCAGAAGTATGCCGAGAGACACTCCCAGGGGACAGTATGCACTGCTACTTTTTTTGTTTTCTCTTTTTTTTTTTCCTGCGCTTTCTCTTTTGTGGCTACAAAACACAGTATTTCTCTTCTTCCACCATCAGACTACTTTATATTTCTTCCATTAAAGAAATTTCAAATGGGCTCTAAACAACCAACTCAATGAAACGAAACGGTGAGTCTAACGCAACGTTTTTCCACTAGATGGTGCTACATATTAAACTTCCCTTCAAGGTAGCTGACTCCAAAATACTAATTTCTGAAGCAGGAAAACTGACTGAACGCCCCTTTGAAGGTGGAAAGAAAAATCAATGTGTGTCACCAAAAACGAAAAACAAAAGTAATTTATTAATAACTGCTCCCCCGAGGCAGGAGGATCGCTCCGGTTCGAGGCCAGCCTGGGCTACATAGGGAGAACAAAATTATGGCCATTGGGGAACAAATGTCTGAAATAACCAAAAAAGGAAGAATTCCTTCAAAATCTCAGGCCCAAGAGAAATCCGTGAAAGGACCACGAGGGAAAGCCGCTGACAGCGAGCCGCCGCGCACACAAACGAATGTCCTCAAGCGTCCGCTTTACAACTAATTTATATAGTTTTTTTAAAAAAACAACTCATCCTCGTTTGTTTCCGGTTAGCAAACTCGCAGACAACCGCGAGACTTTTCAGCGAGGGCAGGAGCGGCCCGCGGCGCGCTCCGATGCCCCCGCACTCACCTGGGCCGCCAGGCTCCGGCGCCC